GAATAGGAAGACTACTCCATCCGAGGACCAAGGCATAACACAAGCCTCTTTGAAGACTTACAAAGGAGGTCTTAGCCCCTTCAATGAAGGTTTTAAGTTCAACTTTTATAAATAAAGAGTAGTAAGATAAATTTTCGATTAACAAAGTACTAAAATAAACTAAACACCATGGACTAGGCTGCTAGGTGCTAAAATAATGGATCAAAAAATCAGCACGGAATGATTCAAGCAGCGTTCACAACCCGAAAAACATCTTTCACATTTCTCTAATAATTTACACAGTTCTGATAATGATACAGGCAAAACTATTTGACATTCTTGACACAACCCCAAATGAGTTTGATGCATGCCCTGGTTTTCCCTCAATTTTCTTCATCACATAGTGCAACATTCTTTCAAACCTTTCCGGGAGAAGTTCGCGATTTCATTTCACAGGTATACATTCTCCGGGCTCTTGGAATGATCAAGTGTATTAAGTTTGCCAACCATATATTTTGTTCAAGCTTTACACATGCAAGGAGTTAGAGGGTTCTCCCACAAGTCATAGTTGGGGAAGGTCGCTTCTGGTAATTCAGTTCGTGTTTCGTGGGTGACTACTACATCGTCTGCAAAGGTTGCCCAGCCCATGTAAGGGTCCCCAAAAGATTTAGACATCAGCCCCTTGTCTGGTTTTATTGATTTTTGACGATGACCCATGTACCGGCGTGCCCCTATGATCAGCTTAGCAAAGTTGCCTCCATGGGTCATCACGAATACATCAGACTTCAAGCACACCAGGAAGTCAAGCGCTGCCAAGCTAGTCACATGCTTCCTGAATTTATCCAATTCCTGCTTAGCCGTCAACTCCTCTTTCGTTACCTTTTATGGATGGTGAAATGAGTGTATCAATCAAGAGGGAGAAAAGAAGGATTTCAAGTGAAGAAGTTTCCACATATCCCCTAAGTTTCCTGTTTTAAAAGATTATCTAGTTATCCGAAGTAACCCCAGCTAGAATTATTCGAAACCTCCTTTTCTGAATTCAACTAGTCATCCAAGTAAGATATTCTTAATAACGGAAAGGGTATAATCTTTTAGATCTGATTTACTAACACTTAAAAACTAATGGGCTGTCTTCACCAGACAAGTTCAGTCAGTAGTGCTATGGTAGAATAAATAAGAAGTTCATACCAGATTTGGGAACATGTTCCTCAGCGGCGCCATCCTGTTGTGGCCACCATAAACCTGTCCTGAAGCAACATAAATTTGAGTTTCCTTAGGATAGCCCATTGCTCGAAGAATGACAGCCACTTCCCCAGGCTCAAGGGGGCATCGCCCTTCCTTTCGCTTCTGCAGGGCTAGTTGCCATAGATGGGTACCATTCTGCATACCAAAATCACCATCAAAAGAAAAAGAAACACAATAAGACTGATATTCTTTCAAAGTTCTGACTCCATAAAGTTGACCTAGGTATTCTATTTACCTTGTACCGTCTCGGCCATTCTTTATGTCTGTATTCTGCCATTAGAGCTTTCTCTTCCCTTGTGCCCACAAAATCACAGAAAGATAGGCCTACCATCCCTTTCTCAAACCTAAGATGAAGAGCCCTGCAAGTGTAGAATTGTTAGTGAAGTTAAGGTACAATTACCAGAAATTTGAATAGATTTAAGCACAATGTTACATACATGTAAGAATTGGAACCTCCAGTGCGATTTCTCATCCTTGATGCCAATAAATCAGCCATCTCCTCTATCTCAGGAAGAAATTTAAGGGCATGATAATTCACCCTGCACCTTAGCCTGTTGATTTCTTGAGGGACATTGTCGTACCTGAAACCAGAGAGGTATGATATTATTAGCTTGTTATACATTGTTGACTTCTAACAGATATAAACACTTACATTTTTTAAAGACAAAAGAAACTTTCAGTCCTTTTCTTTCTACAAAAGTGTGACTTGTGAGCTTTCGACAGCACCTGTATAAGAATTCCCAACTTACCCGAGTCGATCGACAAAAGGTTTTAGGGCCATTATCTTCTTCTCCTTGATTCGCGGCAGAACATTGTCTATGTAAAATTGAGCAGGAGCATATTTTGGAATGTTCTTTACTGTTCGTCTAAAGAAAAAAAATTTACAAATCAGTGTGAGTTGCAGAGAAAAATCTATACAAATTGGGGGGGGGGGTGTTGGGTGGAGAGAGAGAGAGAGAGAGAGAGAGAGAGAGAGAGAGAGAGCTTAACCTTATACTTGTAAATAGCTCAGCTTTGTCAGTAAACCACTCAGGAATATCACGAACAATTCGTACATCATCCTTCAGGTAATCAATGAAATGGTCAACATCAAAGATATCTTCAAATTTCCTGCAGAAGTTGTAATACTCAAATCAAGAATTGCAAGCATAAGAGATCCCAAAACAAGATCTTATGAAGCAATTTCAAATAGGGATACTCTCAAAAGATCTTTAAAAGCGTGAAAGCAAAAAGATTAGTTTTTCAAGATCTGTAACAGAGACCATTAACATCAAAATGGTATTTGCCTGTTATTTAATTGTGTATATAGTTATATACTGTTTTTATGACTTTACACTAATATGACAGTATGTATAAAAATAGAGGCAAAATCTCACGTTTGGTCTTTCCAAATCTGGTCCTGCTTCAGCACAGGCAAAATAAGGGTGGCATTCATTATTTTGGCTACAGCTACTGCATTGCATATCTGCATGGAAAACATACACATGACAGTTCACATACAACGATAAGGCAGAATCACCCAGCTATAACTTTCCAAAGGAGTAATACAAATAAACTTACAGAACCATATCTCAAACTAATATGCAAATAAGCAATCAGACTAGCGCAACCATTATAATCCAATGGAAAATTGCTTTCTGTAAACCATGGAAAAGCAATGGAAAATACGGGGTTGAAAAAGTAGCTAAGTGAACAATTTTATATTTGAACAAAGAAATTCAGCCAAGCTACAATGTCGCATAAAAGATCAGTCAAGCTCTTATGACGAAAACAACAGCAGAGCAAATGTAACGAACTTAAAGCCATTGAAAGAGAGACAAACTAACAAGCAAACAAATCAACCGCAGTGCCGCACCGGCAGACAAGCTGTTGCCTTAGTCAGACAGCCATCCCCAGCTGGACACCAAGCACGAAAACATATTATGGTCGTTGTAACGGATTAACTGTTACCGCAAACTAATTGTTACTAATCTGTAACAGTCTCAGCCACCATTTAACATTGCAACCAATCTGTAGGAGCTCTTGAGAAAAGTCTCGGTGCAATGCCAATTCTAGAACTTTCTTGAAAAAGTGAAATCTTTGTCTTACATCTTCTCTAAGTGATTCTTTCACATCATTCTTACAATGTGCACAAATTAGGGGAAATAAAGAAATAAAGATTTCTTGAACAGATTAACAATAAGACCGAGTAGAACATACCGCAATTCTTTGCTGATTTAGGCCACCCTCAGCATGAATAAATATGTACCCAGTTGTTTCGTTTTCAGGTGGAAGATCTGCACAATGCCGGAAAGATTCTAAATTTAGAAAGGTAGAACTAGACATAGTAATAAAGAACATCATAGATCTAGTGCAACACGTCAACAACAAAAACAAGAGCTCAGCTCACCTGAAATCCCACCAAGGCGGCGCTCGGCACAGGGCTTCCAAGACGTGGTTGCTGAATACGGATTCTCCCAAAGCGAAGGCGATTCCTTGACCTAGAAAAGTAAATTCACATTAAAAAATTTCACAATTACGTCACCGAAATTCTAACATTGACCAAGCAAACAGCTTTCCCCAACTTACAAGAGGACAGTGAAGAGTAATGCCATCTTTTTTACACAAGTAAGGAGTATTCTGCAACACAAAGCCAAACAAACCAATTGAAAAACATCGAATTGCACAGCTCTAAGCAAGACTGTCTATCCCAATTGCCAAACACCAGAAATCCGAACAGAAAAAGCACCAAGAAGCCATACCACTCGTTTCACGATCGCCAGAATCGAGACCAGGCCGAAGACTGCGACGACGACGATGACGATGAAGAGTGAGATCCTGGAGCTGTTGGAGTCGTCGGCTATTGAGGGGCAGATGGATTGGAAATGGGAGAGGAAGGGACGGTCGCGATCTTTGTGGGGAGGGCGACCGCGGCCGTCGTCGTCGTCTTGGGGCTGAGTGTCGAAGATCAGAGGGGAGAAGTCCTCGTCGCGCTTCATTGGAGAAGAAGTGGCTCGAGCCCCCACCGCGATGGAGTGCCTGAGCTCCGCCATGGCACGCTTCGGACTGTAAGTCATGTTTCTGGCTCTTGGTTTGTTAAATGTGGAGAGTGGTGTAAAGCCGAAGCCGATTTAGTTTTTTATTATAATTTGCACGTTGTGTAATTTTATACAAATTTTTAAATTTTTTTAGACAACAAATTTATTAAAAAAAAAAAAAAAGAAATTAATTAATATTGAGCTCATTATTTATAAAATTTAAATTTAGTCATCTTGTTGAGACACTTAATAAAATCGCTTTGGTTTGATATTTGCCTCGCAACTACAGTTACTCTTGCTCTTGAGTTTTTAAATTCTTACTTTTGAAGATTAAGGTAGCGTTTCAAATTAAAAATCGAATTGAACAAAATAATTGATTTGGTTCGATTTTGATTAAGTAGTTGTGCTCGAACCCTTCATCAATTGAAACTCAAGTCTAAAATCCAACTTTCGCCCATGAATTTTATCAACAAACTCAAAGAAAATTACCCGTAAAATTAGAATAATATACATTTAATATAGTTAATTGGGTGAACTTAATTCAATGATGAGGTCAATAAAAGCAGTTTTTTTAATCAATGTATGAGTTTTTTTCTTTTTCAATCAAGATTTTGTAATTAAGTCTAAATCCAACAACAAAAAAAAAAAAAAAAAAAATTAGATAGATCTAAAACAAATTAAAAAATGAATAAAAAACTAATATTTTGCGCGACGACGTCGTGCAGAAATGGGCATTTGCGTACATTTAAAACTATAGCCTTACACCGGTGACCAACCAAAGCCGCCACGCAGACACAGCACCGAGCAGCCCGGCGCTCTACTAGCACACCAGTGACCGCCACATGGCGGCCACTCGACCTCTTCCGCCATCCTTCCAAAACCCTAACTTTCCACCCGCGCCCAAATCTCCCGATCCCTCCTCGGCCGCTTTCCTTATCAAAGCCTCCACCTTTAGGAAGAACAAGCAGAACAGCAGCAACATCATCAGGTGCGAGATCAAGAGCTTCGGCCACAACCTGACCATCGAGCCGGACTCTCCGGTTCACGTCTTCCGCGACGCTTCCGAACCCCAATTGTCAATGGCTTCCGATTCGGCGGTGAAGAAGGCGAAGAAGGTCTGCCTCTTCTACTGCGCCGAGACCAAAGCCCTCGCCGAGAATGTCGCCGCCCAGTCCGACTCCATCGAGCTCCGCAGCATTAATTGGAGGTGAGAGCTCCGACTGCAAGCGTGGCAATTGAGCATTTGCCTTGAAAATTTTAATTTTTAATTTGTGGAATTTGGCTCTGTTGTGCTTCAATTTTTGTAAATTTGGATTCTTTTAGGAAATTTGATGATGGGTTCCCCAACATATTCATACCCAATGCTCATGGAATTCGAGGGCAACATGTGGCGTTTCTCGCCTCGTTTAGCTCCCCGTCGGTGATTTTTGAGCAGCTCTCTGTGATTTATGCATTGCCCAAGTTGTTCATCTCCTCATTCACTCTGGTGCTTCCATTTTTTCCGACGGGGACTTCGGAGCGTATGGAGGATGAGGGAGATGTCGCCACCGCTTTCACGCTTGCCAGGGCCTTGTCAAACATTCCCATTTCGATGGGAGGGCCTACTAGTTTAGTTATCTATGATATCCATGCCTTGCAGGTTTTTCTATACCACATTTAGTAAACAAATTTGCCTTCTCTTAGCTACTTAGTCCATTGATGAGCAATGTGCACCGATTACCTGACCTTGTTGTTTTGATTGTTTGTTGCGTGTTTAGGAGCGGTTTTACTTTGGTGATAATATCTTACCGTGCTTTGAGAGCGGGATCCCCTTGCTCAAAAATAGGCTCCAGCAGCTCCCTGATTCCGACAATGTAAACTGTTTTCTCCTCCCCTTTCTGTTGAGTCCTAGGAGTTTAGATGTTGATAAGGAGTAATTATTCATAAAAAAAATTATTTCTGACATTGTATACTGATTATCTTCACAATTTAGATATCCATTGCTTTTCCTGATGATGGTGCGTGGAAACGATTTCATAAGCAGCTACATCATTTCCCTACGGTATGATATGTTTTCCTCTCTCCCTAGTAACGAGGAGGATCAATTACCTGTGCATGTTTTTGTGTTTAATTCTTAGAGTCATCAAAATATCATCTAAGAGTCTTCATTAAAACAGCATAAATATGATAATTGTATTATTTTCATCACGTTTGTTCTGATTGTTTTGACTTTAAGGATCTGACTATTGATGCCTGTGCAATACACCTCATAGATATCCATCTGAAAGCCTATAGTCTTGTGTAAAAGGCACAGCTAAACAGTGTTTTTTTTTTTTTCAACTAATGTTGTGCGATCTCCTTCACTGACACTTTCACGAGCCTTACATTTACTGTATAACGGCTTGCTTTAACTATGTTTCTCAGACTGCCTAACCTTTAAAGAGTTGAATGCAGATTGTCTGTGCTAAAGTTCGGGAAGGTGACCAACGAATTGTACGTATTAAGGAAGGAGACCCTAGAGGACGACATGTTGTGATTGTTGATGATTTGGTTCAGTCTGGTGGTACCTTGATCGAATGCCAGGTATCCAGGTCCTGAGTGAACTTCTTACTTGCTGTTAACTCTATAATATTGGCCATAACACAACGAACAATGTAATTCAGATAAAATACGGTTATTCGGCATGGGAAAGTATTAACTTGTCCATAGGTTGGGACTTGAACTTGACTTCTTGGCTAGTAGATGGACATTTGACTTATGCTGCATTTCTTGCCACATAGATTCCTGCTTTAGGTTCATTTTCAGAGAGGAAAAAGAGTCCTTCCATTTGTTCACAAGTTAATCTGAAATGCCATATTACGTTCTCATCTTGTTTCAGAAAGTTTTAGCCGCCCATGGAGCGGCAAAAATCAGTGCTTATGTAACGCATGGGATCTTTCCTAATCGATCATGGGAACGCTTTCAAAGTGATTATGGAGGTATTACATCCTCTACTTACTACTATTTGGTGCTAACTTGTTTGAGACTTTCCAAGTACAGTTTCTAAATCCTGTGTGCATTCCTTCCTTCTTTTTGCAACCAGGGCACCCCGATCACGGGCTGACCTACTTCTGGATTACGGACTCGTGTCCGGTGACAGTGAAAGATGTGAAGAACAATCCGCCATTTGAAGTTCTTAGCCTTGCTGGTTCCATAGCGACTACTCTTCAAATGTAAGAGTAGCTTACGAGCACTAGATAGAAAGTGTCCTCTTTGGTTTTTGTTATGTTTTTGCCCCACCCTTTCTTCCAATAATGGGGTTGAATGGACTATAGAGGAGTTATCAGGCATAGAGAAAGTTAAGGCACTTGAGAATGCGGTTGCGGCGAAGAATTTTTCACTTTGTTTAGCAGATATGATGGCCAACTTTAGAACTTGGATAACAATAAAACCCCAAGTTCAGTCAGTCGGCCATAATGTAGCTCTGGGAATAGGGCAAGCGCGAATAACCGTTGATAATGTACAAAGTGGTTCTTGCATATACTTTCTTTAAGTTGTGGATTTTCGTAGTGTAATTCAACGATCCAAATCAGTTTTCGAACTTTTTCAAGGATTATTCATGCCAATTTGGCGAAGTCAATAATTTTTAGTCTTTCGATTTGATTGTCTACATTTTAGAATGAGGATGCTAGGATCCCTTCTCAAATCATGTCTGTTAATCGTACATCGTGCAGCTAGAAATTATTTTAAATACTTTTATTTAAAATTAAACATGAACAGTTCCTGACGAAAACTGATCGTACGATGTACGATGTACGATGAACGGACACGATCACGATTTGAAGATCTCTGAGATCCTTACAATGAGAATCCGGTGAGGATCCTCATTCTACATTTCATTTAAGCTTTTATCTAGCGAATTGTGCCTTTTTTGTGGAACCGAATCCCTCCGGACCCAAAAGAATTGAGCCCAAGGATCAAATGATCCGGATCACTGAAATTTGATCTAACGGCTACAATTATTATAACTTTTAGAGGACCTTCTGTTTGTAGCTGTTGAATCAAATTTCAATAGCCCGGATCATTTGATTAGTAGGCTCAGTTTCTTTGGGTCCAGAGGGATCTGGTTCCCTTTTTTGCACATTTCGAAAAACACGTCAGTTTTGGATTTGAATGAGTTTTTGCCGGGTGACCCGCGAATGAGGACGTTTGAATTGAGAAACGCGTCATGGGACAGCTTTAGAAAGATGTCTCTCAAGTTATGGACATCCTTATTAGTTATTCTACAAGCCTCTTTGACCAAAAACAAAAAGCCTCCATGCATACAATATATATAAAAATACGGGCAAAAACAAACAAAAGCTTTTGATATTTATTTATCTTTCTTAAAAATGCTGGTTCGTTCTGCGGTTACAAGTCAAAAGTAATTCGTTTTAGCAGGCACACGATCACTTCATTCTTCGCTTTACAAGTCGAATCAAACGAGAAAGATTTACATGGCACATGCGCACACAGAAAAATTTACAACTCAAATGACAAATCAAAATTTTGTAACAATTTATCCGCCACACATACATTTTGAAGTAGCCTTCCTTACAAGATAACAACGACGTGTATCACAACTCACGTATAACATATAACATTCACAATAAAGTTTCAGGTGGATGCATGATAAGTTGATAACCTTGTAATGAAAGCGAAAAATGAGCACAATTACCTCTAGTTAGAGCAAAACGAAAACACATCCCTCCTCTTCTCCTCCTTTATCACAACATCTACCTATCTTCAATTCCGGGCCTATATCACACTTCGTTTGAAACTCTTATGTAATTCAAGACCTTTTTTAGAGCCTTTCCACTGTCAATAGCCTCTCTGGCTCTATCCAGGGCTGAGGTTATGTCTTCTGCACCATCACATCCAAGTAAGTGATCAGTCATTCCAGCATTCAACACTATTCGATCATAAGCTGGTCCCTTGTGACCACGAAGCGCTGTTAAGCCCAACTCTATATTCTTCACAACCTGAAGTTGCAGAAAATGTAACTATTCGTCACAAAATGCTGGCTTGTAAAAAAAATGAGAGTGCAAAAACCTGTGTTTGTATGTGTGTGCATGTGTGTGGGTGCGCAAGCATGTGTGTGTGTGTGTGTGTGTGTGAGAGAGAGAGAGAGAGAGAGTGCATGCCACAAGATGGGAGGAATTACCGATCTATCAGTTCTTGGAGTGTCAGTGGGTTCAAAACCATAGTCTACGGCATTAACCTCTAGACTGAAGCTCTGACGTGAAACACCTGCAAACCAAACTTTTGAGTCAGTTTCGATGGTAGGATACTTTATGCAAGAATCTCAACATTTGTGGCAGCTACATGCATAACGCAGAGCTTTAAAACTACTATTACACGTGGATGAGAAAATGCAGAAAAGAACATAAGGACTTGATGAACAAACCATCAACTTCACAAGAGGATACAAGGCTTGTTGAACGAAACCCTGAACAGTAGTTTACAGGAAGTCCTTTTGATGAATTTACTGACCGCAATCTGGTTGTCATTGAGAGAGCTCCTTCCTCACCCTTCAGTAATAGTAAAGTTAGACGGTAGTAGTTTATTTGAATTACTCGGTTGATAAAAGAATAGTAAAGTTAGACTATAAATTCTTATATCTAAGATTTCAAAAAGGTTGATGAAAAATATTAAACACTAGTATTTGAAGCACCATCCTCTTCAACTGCATAATCAGCAAAGTACCAACCTTCACCACCAAGCCAGCATTGACACCTCTTCTTCTCATAAGCATTAAGAGCGGCTCCTCAAAACCTTCATGATAAAACCCAGCAACAATTGCTTCCTTCCCCCGGGCCTGTTGAGAAAGCAATAGATTTTTCATATTTCTGTATGGTGCAGCCCAAATTTGTAAAACGATGCTAGGGTACTTATCACTTCAATCAATAATTCGATTGGAGGCATTGCATGAGCAAATTACGTTATTTGTTGATGCCTACTAAATTTTCAGAATTTAAAGTAGATAAATCAATTGCATGAAAGGTAAAGAAAGTTCTACATGCATAATATTTTGTGTAGTTTCTAGATTTTACACAGATTTCTCAGCATAAAAATGCCAGTCGAGGTTTCCATAAGAATAGAAGGGATGAGCCTTACGAACAAGTTATTAAAAGAAAACAGTGATGTGGCTTACCTTCACGAATTGCTGAACCTTTTCGGTCGTTGCCAGTGGGGGACGTTTCTTAATATGCTCTCTCAACTTAACTAATGAATATCTGCAGAATTCAAACAAATGTTATCATCAGTTTCATCCCGATTAGAATAAATACTAAGCAGAGCATGCCAAAATGTTGGCTAGAGATTCACACAGAGAAGGGCGGGCTTCACGTTGACTTATATAGGCAAAACCAATGTCTTCATCCTGAAATAACAAGATAAAGAATTTAACTGCAGCCCGAAAGACATAAAACCAAAGAGATGAGTAACCATAGCAAGAAGTATATGGGAACCACATATACCTCAAGAAGTACTTTTGCTTGCAACGGGGTTAACCTCGTATTTGCCCCCATAAACTTAAGCATCTGTTCTTCAGTAACTCCTCCCTAAAAAAACAAAAACTTTATCAAACCGGCCCTATTAGTTTATGCTATCGGGTCAATTGGTTGAGCAGAGCTGAAAGCTCACCTTAGGCGGCATCCAATCCAAGCCGTGAAGCAAGCAAGATTCGGAATAACAAGATCGAACCACAGCAACGAACAATGTGCTTCTAAAGAAACGCGTGTTACCATCGTAAGGTTCACCATAGTGAGTAAGTGATTTAACATCAGCAATTGGAGTATCACCTAATTAATCAATCATTAAGCAAATAATTCATCCTCTGAAAACAAAATTAAGAAAAACTAATTGGGATAATTAATTAGACTAGAGCTTACCGAGTTCATCATCAAATGCAAGGCAGTAAGCTTTCAGCTCACGGACAGTTTCTCTGTTCATCCGCTGACCAATCAGCAATGCCGAAAGCAACGCTTCACTCACACTATCGGACGACGTCGCATCATCCACTGATTTCAACGGAAGAATGTCTCGCAGCACGCCTTGGACTTCTTCAAATCCTAGGTGGCCGCCGGCGAGGACCTCCCGGAGGGCGCCGACCAATCTCATCTCGCTAGCGCCGTTCCCGACGAATTGGGGTCCGATTGAGCTTCCCGCGCCCATCAACGACCCCTCCGGATCGGCGACGAACACCACGTCCGCCGGAAGAGCCCGAACCAGAAGCGGCCAGAACTGGTTCATCGCCCGGATCTCGCCTTCGCTCCACTGCGTCGCCTCCGGAAAAGCGTTGGCGCGAATCGACATAGCCGCGAAAAACGCGCCGAGCTGCGACTTCGACACCGGCTCCTCATCCTTCAGCTCGCCCTTGACCGATCTGTAAATCGTGTCGAGCACCTTGAAGGCCTGATCCTCGCCGAGAGGCTTGGTCTGTGTGGGGCCCGTGCAAACCCTAGTCTGAGCGTCCAGCACCGTCTGATTCGGCTTCGGAATACCGGACCTCCGATACGAAGATGAAATCGTCGGGTTTCGGGTATCGTATTCCGGGATGTTTGAATTTTTTACGGTGACGGACTCCAACACGGATTTGGTGGTTAAGGTTAGTTTTCTTCCGGTAAGGCGGCGGCCGTTATATGCGGGGAGGTTGAAGAGTGTTTGGGTGAGAGGGTGAGTGAGGCTGCGATGCTTGGCGGTGGTGGAAGTAGTGGAGATGGAGGTGAAAAGAGAAGGTTCTTGATTGAGAAGAGCTTTCATGGTTTGCTTTTCTCCGTTGCTGTGTTTTCTTCTTCCTCCTTCTAATGGTGCTGGTGCTGGTGCTGGTGCCGCTTCGGGAAGAACGCAAAACTGAGATAGTGCGGTTGGGTACTGATGTTTTCTATGCACGCCAAACCTTTTGTTTATCATTTATTATTTTAAAAATTCAACGTTCGGACGTGGTTTTTAGAAATGCAGGAGAATTTTTTCGGACTTTTTTTATAAATTCTCTAGCACTTTAACATTTAATGTTAATTTTCGTGAGAATGGATCATTCGGTTAAACCACATAATAAGTAATTTAATTTAGTATCGAACTCGTTATTCACGACATTTAAATTTAAGATCTCTCACTTTTAAGTAAAGATGAATATGATCAGATCGTACCAAGTGATAGCTGCTTTTTTCTTTTATTTTTATATTTTAACACTGGAATCAACAATAGTAATTTTGTTTGAATTTATTTTTGATGGCAAAAATATTACTAAACTATAGTATTAAGTGACAAAAAAAATATCATGTTAAAGTTGTATAGTTTTTGAAAAATGATCTAGCAAGAATTCTTTTTTCAGAGATCTCATGATCTTATTCATACATTATACGATAACAAATCATTTCAAAATTTAAAATTAAATATAAAATATAAATAGTAACTTACGAAAACTTGAAAAGCCACACCCTTGCCCGTCTGCATTTATTCCGTTTCGTTTCAATTCAGCTGCGTTGGGGCCAAAAGCATAAACCCAACAACCAACAGAGCCTCGAAACAAACAAACAAATGGCAGGCAGTGGCGGCACTGGTATTGCTTTGTTACCAAGGAAACGCAGAGGGAAGAACCCGGGGAAAACGACTTCCGGCGCCGCCGTCAGAGAGCGGTGGGAGGTCCGTTTCTCCCGCTTCTTCTGCTACCATCCGGCCCACTCCACGTGTCCTGATCTCATCCCTCTGTCCACCAGAATCAGAAATCGATCGACAGCTGGCAACTGGGTCTCCTCCTCCTTCTCCCTGGCTATGCTCCATCCACAGCTCGCTCACGATCACTCCTCCTCCTCCTCCGACGTCCTCCTCACCGTCTGCTTCGCCGGCCAAGTTGTATAGTGAGCCCACGTTTTCTCTCAAGGACAATCGGGACTCAATAAATTTGCCCATTTTCCATACGTACACTAAGCATTTTCACGGCGGCCAAACGACATTTAAGCTCAAACAGTCTGTGATATGATAAATAAAACGAGTTCAGCAAGTGCTAGATTGTTTATAGCTAGCTTCTGCCGGAGATTGCTACGACGTCGTTCTTTGCTTCTTCCCAAAAGGAGTCTTGTAACCTTGCAGGCAAAGTATTCGATAGACGTCAACTGTTTAATATTAATTAATTAGCTGTTAAATCCCCATTATTTTCCTGAGCTCGTGTTTGGTTATTTCCTTTTCGATTCGTAAAATGCTTGAGCATTCAATTTTTATGATTTTCCCCGCTTTATTGTTTCTGTGGCTTAATCAACAAGTAATGCAGTGAGGATTACTGGGATTTTGGGTTGTTTTTCTAGCCTCTAGGCCAAACTTTCTTTGTTCCCAATTTGTTGGGTTTTTCGAAGATTCGTAGATTTCATCTGGCAACTCTTTGAATGATTACGACTTAACATGTTACAGGAGGAGCACTATGTTTCCAACCTGCAGTATGTTTGGCCTCACGTTTCATGCAACCCGCGACTTCCTTCCAAGGGTACCAGAGCCGTGCTTGTCAGCTATCGAGACTCTGTGGGCGAGGCAAGCTGCGCAATGCTTCTATTTTTTTTTTGGCTACAAGAACTCACAATGCCCTTGTGTTAACTAAGATCTTGTTTGTAGGTCGATGAGGCAGAGAGATTTATGATCTCTTTGAAGAAGAAATCATACTGCAAACAAGAAGCCAGTGTGTTAGTAGATGAAATATCTTTTCCTCTGTATTGCAATGGAAATAGAGTTACGATTGGTTTTGTTTTTCAGGGGATCTTCGACATTGAACCTCTTAATTACTGACATGGAATCTGAAGTTTCATCACAGTGTGAGTTCATTTATTCGGCTAGGCCACCCCTCGACCAGTAAATACAAAACCTGCAATCTCCTAAATTCTTCATTTCCCCTTGAGCTGCGACGCTGTTTTTCTGTGTTTCCAGGGTTTGTACACACTTTGTCATGACTCCGGTTCAGACTTATACCACTCAAATACTGCCAAGCTTTGGCAATGCAGCTGAGCACTACTCATATGCTCATCCGATGATGCATATTCATAACTTTCAACAAAACTTTCCAGCCATTCGTCCAGGTTTCACCGCATTGCTGAATGACTATCGTGGCACCATTGAACAAGGTAAATTATATTTATTTTTAGACAATTAAACAAGGTAGAATGTACGCCTTTGCAGATAACTGGAAATTTTGCTACCATTAATCATGATTGAATGTACGAGCAGCTCAATCAACTGTATCAGAGTCTGTCAATCTCAACTCGCATATCATGCCTCCAAATTTCACCTCATGACTTGGGAACTATCAACCTGTTTTTGAACAAGGTACATTCGCGACCTTAGCAGTAAACGGAAATTTTATTCAACAGAAAATTTGTCCTTGATTGAATGATTCAATGGCAGCACAATCATTTGTATCACAAGAAGTCATTTCACCGGAAGCCATTCTCATATCCCAACTCGCGGTAACTATTTCTAACACCTCAAAGTTTCTCGTCATAGACAATGTTCTTCATCAGTAGAACAATGTGATTCCATGTGATGAAGTATTAACACAAATGTTTGTTATGTATCAGAGTTACAGGGGAGATGCTTCCTTCCAAGGTAGCTTCACTTTTACCCTTTCATCTTCTTTTTTCCTTCTCTGAGAATTATTTTAAGGTAAGTTATGATCTGCAACGCATGAAATGCTAATTTGTTTCTAATTATTTATTTCTTCCCTGTATTTTCCAGATATGTTGAGTAACGTGGAGAGAGTCATCAGTGAAATGGGGGTTGATATGACTATCTCTAGTTTTATTTCAAATTTTTTGTATATAAAACTTTAACCATTTCATTTTATTTTATCTGTTTTTTCTTCTCTTTTAATCATATGGTTTAGGTTGAAAGTTGATATTCAAGGTATTTTGAAAAAAAATTCCGGAAGGTTGTTATTAGTTATACAATCTAATGATATATCAGTCGTTTGTGAGTAAAAAATTTATATTTGACTTCCGTATGTGGTAAGTGTTGGAGTGAGTTGACTTTTGTGTAATTAGGTGGATTTTATTCCCTGTTTGAGTTCGTATAATTAGAGTAAATATTATTGCACATCCTTACCTTGTAAATCAAGTCAGTAATACATATATTTGCCTCCTTGAGAAGAATAATATCGAGAATTGGAACCCTAAAATAAGCCTAAATTAACATGGTATCAAAGGTAGGGAGCAAGCATGTACTGACACGTGATGGGTGGGTCCCATTGGCCCAATGCGATGATGGTGGGTCCCTTGGCCCCGCTTGTAGGGTGAATCTCCTTAGTTGGGGACAATATCGCGGTGTTTTGGAAGTGCGTCTTTGGCCCGTCTCTTTGATAATTCGACAAGATACAAGTGTTGTAACATGAATGAATTGGTAACCCCATGATTAGCCATGTAATAATTATCAAGTTAGGGATAACATCAGTGTTGTTAGAAGTGAGCATTTAGCTCTCTCACTGATAATTCGACAAGATACACATGTTATAACGTGAATGAATTGGTAACCTCACGATTGGCTTCGCGAAGGTTACACGGAAAAATCAATCAGCAAATAAGTCAGTTAACAAGAACAGTAATTGTTACAAAAATAGAACACGGTTCTTCGCGAAGGTTACACGGAAAATCAATCAGCGAACATGTGCTCTTAGTCATTTAGATAAATTTCCGACAATTTTTCCGTATCTCTCCTTGATCTTCAGTGAGAACATTGATTCTCCCCATCTTAATCATGGCATTTGCAAATGCCCGAGCAAAAGAATCAGACCTAGCCAGTTTCGCCACCACCCCTCTGGTGCGAGGATCGATCGCCAGAACCTGATCCGACTCCATCAATCCTCTCCCCTGCATCAGGCTCGTATAGTAGTGATTGTCCAGGACGAGTGGTGTCGTGGGGTCTGAGTCAACAAACCTCTTTTTAGCCTCCTCCGCGGGCAATGTGTTGGGTGCAGGGCACTGTTGAGCAAGCTGAGCCGCAAACACTTCGTTTAGTGAAGGGTCTTTCGGCTTACCTGGTGCGAAATTGTACATCCTGTAATCGAAGAAGCTGCAGTGGACGGTGCCGATGGAGTGTGCGCCAGACAAGGCGACCATTTCCTCAAGGCTCAAGCCTTTTCTGGAGAAGAAGTCTATGAGCTCGTCCAGAGGTGTTGTGGGAGAAGGAAGTATGACATCGGAGGCACGGGAAGTGCGGCTGTCACGGCGTCCAGCAGGGACTTCGTAACGAGGCAAACCGGACAGAGCCACAGCTTCCCGTGAGGCAAAAGCTAAAATGTCGGCACAGGAAACGGTTCCCGGGCACTCCTGTTCTACCCTAGCCTTGATCTGATCAATGACTTCTAAACCTCGGACCCCGAAGCTGGCCGGTGATAGCATCTCTACGGGCTCGCCAGAGGGTGTGACATCCAACAGAAGTGACGCATCGCAGCCCTGTACGTACATTCATGAATATATTTTAAGTAATAATCACAATTTGACATGCATGACCCTAAACGACATTGCCACAAATGATATATTACATGTAAGGAATAAAGGCGTTATCCCAATAGGCACAGTAAACTGTATTTACCTTGACAAAGCAATCGTGGAAGAAGAGGCGAATGAGAGCAGCAGGAAGCTTTCGGTCCTTCTCTACCGCCTTGGCCACAACGTCAATCACGATTTTCTCCAAATTGGGACATTTCCGTTTGTAAAATCCAACGTGCAACCCGTTCCCCGGGTTGTTCACATCTGCCGAATAAGCAACGACCATCATGGAACACAAGGTGACGGCAAAAACCGCCGCAGTAATTAAACGACAATCCATCTCCCCGGTAGAAGATCGGTGACTGTTTGTGACTTGAAGCGGCACAACCGAGAATTGTTTGGTTTCTTTCTCCTTTTGTGCCACAGTCACGACGGAGACATGGTGCGGAGCTGTGTTTATATACAAGTGAGTGACTTAGGTTTGCCTCTGTTTTGCCTCGTTATTCGTGGTTAAAATTGCAATACTATAGAAAGATGGTTTTTTTTTTTTCACCATTTGTTCGGCTCTTTTTGGTCAACGGATAGTATACCGTTTATAGCCAAAATTTAACTCCTAAATTTAAAAGTGTTGTCATTTTTAGTCAAAACGTCATATCAATTAAACGAAATATATCAAACGCTACAGAGATAGGCTCTTTCTGTCCGTTCCTTTTTGTTTTTTTTTTTTTCTTTTTTGCGGTTTGATTATTTTCATATCCCAATCCAATAGCATAAGAAAATATTAAGAGGTATTCATTCTGATAGAAATTAAGTCGATCAAATTGTCAAATTAATTTCTTAATTGAGAAACCTACAAGGCTACAATCAAGAAGACCATGATGAAAATATCACATAACTACACCTTCTGAATAGTTTTCTATAATAGTTAATTGGTATGCTTTCAGAAAATTTCATAGAACTATAACTGATGCATTTTTTATTTAGAAAATGATATTATAATATTTTGCAAGTTTTTATTTTGATGGAAACTGACATTACGTGTTCTCATGCATTCTTCCGCATATGAGTCCTTAAACTTAAGGGTTACCCTAATTAGTTATTTAATTACGTGGTAGAATTTGAGCATAATATTTATAACTAGCTGAAGCAATTTTAACACCATGGATCTGAAAAGGAAGAAAAGAAAAATGAAAAACAAAGGAGACAGAGGAAGTTCTTTGCGGCAAATCGGCATTCTCCCCAGAAAAAGGGCGTTGGAAGAGGACCATATATGTTTTTTGCCCCTTTATAAATTTGTGTGCTTTTTTTTTAATTACCTTTAAAGGATGGGATTATAGTGGTTCACCGATCATTCCCATAATCTTATTAAAATAAAAAGAGAAATACAAACAAGGAGAACATAAAGCCAAACCTTATTAAGGAAAAAATATAGCAAGTAATTAATACGGCCGGGAAATCAAAAATCAACCCCACGTACAAATAAAACATATAATAAAAATTATCTGAAATGATATTTGGTAAAAGCAGAAAGATTATGAAAGCAGAAGCTACACATGAAGGAACATTTGACCACGGGCAATATGCAGCATGATTTGCACCAAAGTTAGCTAAGGCGTAAGCCACACAATTGTCATTGTGAAACATATGTGAAACAAAAACACGCATATGCCTAACACACCATAGGCAATTGCTCCAATCAACACGCATATAGCCTGCACAAACTATAGACTTGAATGACCCATCAGTATTTATCTTGATCCACCCTACCATAGAAGGTTTCCATACAACAGGGATGAAACTCTAGTCAGTTAGTGTTTTTGCATGCCTACAATAATGCGTAATGTTTCACTTATCATTTAGTTGTACCATCTCTCTAATGAAGATGGGAGCCCATCACTACATATGGGTCACATCTCTATTAAAGAAATGATAAAAATGATAGTAAAACTAGATGATAAGAATAACGTCTTTATTAAGAATAACTTCAAAGTTTCTTTTTCTGGTCAATTGAGTCCTTCTAAATTACATTCTTGATCAATTCCTGTTTCATGTATTAAAAATAAAATCTTTGGTCGTGACATGTAGGACGTCGTAGTGCATGATTAAACTTGCAGGGAAAGTGCTCGAGTGGATTCGATGCACTCCATGGATAATATATACATAATTACTTTTTACACTATATGGATATACACAATTGGTCATAATGTTAGTTAAAGGTTCTACAATTTTTCCTGATCTCTCCCTCATCTCGAGTGAGAACGTTTGTTCGCCCCATCTTGATCATGGCCTTGGCAAACCTTCGACTCCAAGCATCAGAATCCGAGGCCAATGTCTTTACCAACGCGCTGGTGCGAGGATCGGAAACCATTATCTGATCCGACTGGAGCAAGGTTTTCCCTTGCAACAGGTTCACGTAGAAGTTGTTGTCCAGAACAAGTGGAGTTATTGGATCGAAGTCCACGGCCCGTCTTTTTCGCTTCGTCTGCAGGCAATGTATTTTGTTTCGGGCACTTTGTGGAGAGATCAGAAGCGTAGGTTGAGTTGAGGGCAGGGTCTTGGGGCTGAGATGTGTTGAAATTGTAGAGTCTGTAATCAAAGAAGCTACAATGGGCCACCCCAATGGAGTGTGCACCGCTCAACACAACCAGTTCGTCGAGGGTGATGCCTTTTCTGGTGAAGAAATCTATGATATCGTTGAAAGGTGTTGTAGGAGCAGGGAGGCCAACATCGGAAGCACGGGAAGTACGACTGTCACGGCGTCCAGCAGGGACTTTGTGGCGGGGTAGACCGGCCAGAAAAACAGCTTCCCGAGCAGCAAAGGCTAGTATGTCGGCGCAAGAGACGGTTTGCGGGCACTCTTGTTCTAGCCTGGCCTTGATCTCATCAATGAGTTCAAAACCTCTAATGAAGTCATTTCCTTGTGCTTTTTTCTCTACAGGCTCCTTTGAGCGAGTGGCCTCCAACAGAATTGAGGCATCGCAGCCCTGTAAATTGTAAGTTGTTAAAAGCCTTAAGGGGGTGGACTCAACTAATCTAGACAATAAATACTACGCGATATTTGTACCATCTTAACTGACTGACTACGTTTTGTACGAGAATCGAACATGTAGGTCTCGATGTAGGTGGATCTCGCCCTTATTAGCGAGATGTCTGGCATGTCAGTTGAGATGATATAAATAGTACAATGCTGTGCGTACCTTGACAAAGCAATCATGGGAAAAGAGGCGAATGAGGGCACCGGGTAGCTTTGGATCTTGCCGGTTAGCCTCGGACACGATGTCAGCCACAATTTTCTCCACATTCGGGCAACTGCGACTGTAGAAACCTACATTTAAGCCGTTCCCAAGGCCTTTTCCAGCTGCCTCTGTACAAGGAGCGATGACGACGACGATGACGATGCATAAGATGAAGATGATTGTCTCGTTGATCATTAGACGACGCATAATGTCTATGTGTGTGTTAATTAATTAATGCGATTGATGGCGATTAGTGACTAATGCTTTTCTTAATTGCAAATGTCACAACCAAACTACGTACCGGTGAATCATGGATGGTTGCCTGCCGTCCTTGGCGAGAGGGTGGTAGAGTGACAAGTAGGAATTTTGTCCACCGCTGCTTCTTCTGTTGCCCCCTCGCCGGTCACAAGATGAGAGCAAAGTCCAAAAGTAGCAGACGTTTTCTTACCTAGGCGGGAAAATAGCAAATGTTTAGGGCTCAAATATTTTCCTGTAATTAGTTAACAAACGTTCACAAGTTGATTTTCTTTCTATTTTCTTGTTGTATACTTGTTTCACAAGTTTCCTTATTTAAGGCTTTTTAGTTAAAATGGTATCTGAAATAGTCACTAACTCCTCACTTTGGTCTCTAATATTTAAAATCAATATATGATCTTTGAGATTGCCCACCGTCAATCATTTTGGTCTTTATGTGAAAAATCTCTGTTAAATTGAAAAAACCACTAGCTCAAGGAGAGGGGTTAATTTGACAAAAATACTCTCAAATTAACCCAAATGATTGACGGTTGACAATCTCAAAGATCACTTCTATCCATTTTAAATTTCAGGAACCAAAATGAGAAGTTATGCCATATTCTAATATCTAAACTATGAGAATGAAGATTTGAACATAAGTACATTGTTCTAACCAACTTACCTACATCGCCTACAATTCGTCCTTTTATTATTGTACCATGACTGTGACTGAGGTAAACGCATGCCCCAATGAAATGGATTATAGATTTTTAAACAAATTATAATTGACAAACTTGACAGTAACTTGGCTAATTAAAATTGCCAACCTGCTTCCTCCCTCCCAAAGACGCATCGACTTCTTTCGTCAAAGTCTCTAAATATGTTTTTTCTTAGCCGGCACATAACTCCGAAGAACTAATCCCTAACTCCATGATTACCTACCCTAACCATCCACAATTAAACGTTAATTAGCTCTTCGTATCGCTAGCTAATTTCCAGTCGAACGACACCAGATAAAGGTAGAAGTAGATACGAAAAGGACACACCAGTGCTTAGCTAGCTCTAAGCAGAGTTCTCAAGGTATATAATTCTGATTAGTGATTAAATTAAAGCATAAGCATATATTTAATTGCTCAAGAACAATATTCTGTTTCAGAAATCCGGAACACATGGACGGCCGCGTGCCCCGTTAATTAAAAACAAAGAAAGAAAATCCAAAATCTAAACGGCCAAGCATGCTTTACAAACGGCAAGAACAAAGCTGTCTACTATTTCATGACTCTGCATGAGCTACTGACTCACAACTTTTATTAATAATATACTGCATAATAATGTCATAAGTTACACTGAAGCAACAAGCTAGTTCTAGCTGTCTATATCGATCGGTGGTTAATCTTGAACCGTCAGATCACATCTGTTATTAGATTTATAAAGAGTGACATTATTCGACGTGAATTAGGTAAGTTAATCAGAGAGTATGTTTGCTCGTTTGTATTTAAGATTAAAATAGTCTTGTAACAAAAAATCACACTAGTTATGGAATGCTTATTAATTGAAACGGTGATTTTCGTCACTTTGAGACTTATTTTGTCACTTTGTTCTTTGAAACTATGATTTTCTTCCATTCCATCAAACATAAGTTAAATTAGAGAGTAGTATGGACATTTTATTGTTACTCAAGTAAAGATAAGCCTCATGCTTGACGACGTGGCACTTACATGGGAATTTTGGTTGATCACCATGTATTTAATAAGCCGCTTAGTAAATACGTGGTGATATAAAAACAAACTTTAATTTATTGGCGAGAAAAAGTGGAAAAACAAATTAAGTGAAAGGGAAGGAAGAAATTTAGGCTTGTAAATTCAGTCCTTAAGTTCAGTCGATAGTCAATGTCTATATTACTTTTTAAGTTAAGACCTATTTGACAAAATTG